TCTTCCAAACCCAGACACTTTTGCATTTGATATGTTCAGACTGTTGTTGTGGCCCGCGTTAAAGGAAAACACCTCTTCGTACGATTCTAGAAAATTGGGCAGCGCTTACACTTCACCATTGCAAATTCCCAGCGGGTAGCTACCCGGAGCCTCCAGCTCCCGACGTGGGGCATTCTCCTGCTCCTGCACAGCAACACTGTCCCCACAAGGGATCCACGCACCGCGCGTCCTGCTAAACCCGGCCGCGCTGGGCCTGTCCGTAATGCAGCCGTAGTCGCTGCATCCCACAAACTTATAATCGTGCCCAAGAAAAATGCAAAGCAAAGGAATCACGGCCCCGCCCAGCGATGGGAACAGAGGACGAACCACAAAGACAGCGAAACCACCAGCCAAAGCCCGGGAACAAGTTCGCAAGGGTAACGGATTGGATACCGCCAGTGCCAAACGACCCCTGTTCCCAAAGCCAGGCGGGACCGAGGAAAGAGACGTGCGCCCCTGGTGTCAACGGAGTGGAAGCCACGCGATCCTCACCCGACAGGGAAGTAGCCACCCCAAAGATAGATCAACTTCAATAGATACCGGCGCAGCGAGGCTTTGAGGCCCCCCAGCTACAGGAGGACGGAGTGCACCGAGTTCGGGCATGTTCATGCAAAAATACAAATGAGGGGGAGGGGGAGTTGTGCGCTGTCATATGCTTCTACACAAGTTGTCGTCAGCTTGGATGGGGGCATAGCCCTAGGTCTTACCGCTGTCATAGAAGCGATGACGCGTGCCTTGATAAAGTGAATTGAAATGTGTTTTGTGGGTCATATAAAAGGATTGGACTTTATCGCCTGTCGTAGTCTGCTAGTTTTATAAGTACTGCACGGCATCTCCGCGCAGATGTCGGCGCGGAGGTCAACACCTTCACCATGTCGCACTGGCATCATCTTCACCATATCGCGCCGGCATCATGTCGAGGCTACGTCGTCTCCATCATCATCGGTATGGAGTACATGATCAACTACTGGAGCAAGAAGAGCATCAGCTCCACAAGCTGCACGCTCGCATCAACTGGCACTTCAGCTGGCACTGCACGATCTGCATGCATCCACTCCTCGTGATTTGGCAAGATCGTGTTGTCCTGTTTCATGGTCTGTGATGCATGTTGTCTCGTTGTCCTAATTCATGGTCTACGGAACCTGCGTTCTTGTTGTTCTGATTCTCGGCCTACACGTCGCAGTTGCAGATCTAGGACACGGCGTTGACGTGGATTCCGGGTGTAGCTGTATTGGCTTGTTGTACTATTTCTTGTGATGCACGCTGGTATGCTCGTCTTGAAAATGCAAAGAAGCGTACAAATGTATCAACAAAATTATAGGCAACGTGTCAAAATACACGTATATCTGTGATGCTACTGGGATGCGGACTTACCTCAGAGATGTGCGGGACGCAGTGGCCATGGTTTTCTTGTGGGAGGCTTTAGTTTCGTTGCTCTATTTACGTTTACGGCTTTTAGTATTGGGAAAGGTAAGAAGAACTGCTTTTAACGGTTGTTGCTAGGCGGTTTGATGACGAGCCATTTGGAAAAATCGAAATCACTCAGACGGAAGCTCGCTCGCAGAAGTTCACTCGCAAAAAATCGCTCGAAAACGCTCGAGAGCACGCGAACGAAGAAAAAGGTCGAAGGCGATACACAAGAGAGTAGTTATTGTTAAGACAAACGTGCAGAATCGAACAAGAACAAAGAACCGAGTCTGATGATGCAAAACGTGGTGAAGTGCCGATATGATGTTTAGCTTCTTTGGCTGAAAAACAGTGCATTTAGCATGAAAAAAGTACGATTAGGACACCGAGGAGGAGACGGATTTCACATGAAAAAAGGTGAAAAAAAGACACTGCTGTTTCTTGGCGTATGATGTGGGAACCGTTAACATCATATATCGGCACCAGACAGTCGTGCACTATTTTGCTGCTGGAATTCTCGAGCAGCGCCAAGGACAATGGCAATGGTGATCGATATTGACGGATCGGGTTGTCAAGAATTGCAGAAAGTTCTGGCGCAGCGGCAACAATTGCTGGGTCGATGAATGGGATGCTGAATGAGCCGCGGTTATTACCACCCGCTGTAAGAACGTCGTGCTTTTGAGGACTAAAAAGTGCTTTGAGGCGATTCTAGAAAATTGGGCAGCACTTACACTTCACTCGCTTGGAGTGCGTGTCATAGATTTTTATGGGAGTCACTCGAGTGTATGGGAGTGCTCGCTTGTAGTCGTGTCATAGATTTTTATGGCGGACAGGGGTACCGGTTCACCGACCATAAAACCACGAAAACAACGTGCATAAAGAAAGGAAAATGGGAAAAAGGAAGGAGAAGGCAAGGAGGAGCTCACTCGGGGCGCGAACGATGAGATCGATAGCGACATACAAGATCGAGATCGAGATCGACATACAAGATCGAGATCGAGAACGAAATCGAGCAGGATCGAAATTGTAGATCTGGAAAAACTCTATAGATTCACAAAAAGCTAGCATAGAGCGTCGAGATCGAAGAATGTATCCTATAGATCAGATGAATTTGTAATGCTAGAATGAACAAAAAACCGAGGATGGTGACGAGCTCGATAAAGAAAATATTTAAAGATCATTTGTAATGCTAGAAATAAAAATAAAAACCGAGTAACACGGAGCTTAACGATGAGTTCGGCCATTGGTTTGCGGGTTCCTCGTTCTCGCGCTGGCCCCATCGTGTCGTGTTCCAGTACGATTTTAGCCACCATCGGTTT